GGTGGGTGAAGAATTACCATTATTATTACCAACTATTCAATTCCGTATAATTAAAAAAGAAAAAAAATAAAACAGAGCATGGAGAAGAGATTGCATCAAAGAATATCACGGATATTTCGTGATATCTTATTTTAGGGGTTTTTAGTTTCAGTGTCAGTCATTATAAAGTTTCATATATTTGTCTTTTTGTTATGGAGTTTACTTGTTAGGACATGTTCATGGAATCGTGTGGGGATTTTTTCTTTCTTTAGGACCACTTTTTAAATTATAAATTTATACCAAATTGTTAGATTCATATTCTTGTATAGAAGTGAAAATGTGATATGAAAACAGATTTATTCGGTAACAATCTCCTATAATATATCAAGAATCGATTTGATATGATTTGGAATCGTATAATAAAAGGCTAAATAAACCCAAAAAGATCATAATTTTTGTTTTCAGATTTTGTGTGTTTGAATTAAGAAAGAAGTTGTGGTTTTGCTATGGAGGACATATTCTTTGAGAAAGCTGAATAAAGAAACTTATATGTGTGTCAGTGACAGTCGTACGGATCTGCTGAAAGATCTTCTAAGCTCATAAGATAAATCTTTAGATGTATAATAAATATTTCTGTTATTTTGTTCCTAATCATTTTGGCCGAAATGGATCACCAATCTCTTATGGAGATCCCCCATGTCTAAAGATTATTTTTTTTTCCTTTCATTTCCTTGGAAGATTATCTAAGAATCACAAAAGAAAAGGGAGATAGTTTCAAATATTTAAACTAATGCAAATTAATTTGAATTTTCAATATTTAATACTGAGTTCAAATTTTTTCATGACACAATCCAACCACTTTTGACGGTCAGGACTTGTATGTTACTGTCGAATGTTCAATCAAAATTTTTATTCGGTAATTCCGGTCATATGGTTTCTCAAATTTCGATTTTAGAAGAATAATAACCAAACGGAAACTGATAAAAAAAAAATGGATGGTTTGGTATGGTTTTAATCTCGGAACGAGTTTGAGTCGATCTTTGGTTTTCAGCTATGATAAGGTATTTAAATCCGCACCAAGCTCGATTTGGTGTTCGAATGAGATTTTTTTGTTTCGGATCAGAATGGTTTGGCTCATGTGATTGAACAGTGAACACCTCAAAAGTAGCTAAGTGGCTATTTATAGATGATAGGAGGCAATGGTGGAAATGCATAGCTTGATTTGACGGAAAACAGAAAATGGAACTGCGTAAAATCAAAATCCAGTTGCGGAAAGCTATCAAAACGTAAAATGAAACAATATTTTTGTTTTCTTTCAAAAAGCTCAGAAAGAAAAAAGAGAGTCAAAATGGTTAATAAGAACAAAGTTATAGACTGATCCGAATTGTGACAAAATGAGGTACTTTTCCAAGTGAGTTTGCGAATATTGCAAGAGAAGAGAAGAAGAAGAAATACTAAGTTCACTACTTGATGGTAGCCTTGGGGATGGTGGAAGTGCAAGGTCCAGCCGAGGTCATGAATGGTGTGCCTTTGTATGTGGCTACGCCATTTTCATCAGTGTAGAGATGCTGCAAATGCGTGTGATTAAAGTTAGAGAATATATATGTATAAGGCAAATACAATACTCAGAGCATGTTCGGTTTGTTTTAAGTATGGAACCTAAAAAAGTATGTTGCACATACCGGTGTTATCTTCTCTAGTTGCTTCTTTTTCGGGTTCAGCACATCTTCTGGCTTTCCTTCGATCCTATATGAAAGTTACGACAAAAAGGGTTATTGAGTTTGTCATGAACAAGAAAAATTAAAAAGATAAGCATGTATCCAAAGCAATCAAAGATGTTTGATGTTATAAGTCATTAACATATACCCTGAAAATGAAACACGCTCTCCCGGTTTAGCTCCAGCAGGTGGTAGCAACGGTTCTACCACTGAGTGATCTTCATTTGAAGCACAAAGAACCTGTAGCGAAGAAACCAAGAACACATTAAGAAGAGCAAGTGTGAGAGTTCACAATTTTGTTCGTTGATGAACTGGATTGATGCAGATAGAAGAAAGTCTTACCAGTCCTTCTGACATCACATCTCGTAGCTTTCCAGGTTTGACATTTGTGATAAGCACAACAGGGCGGTTCTTCATCATCATAACGCAACAATCAAGAAACAATAGATAAGTAAGCTTTAAATTTCAAGAACTTGACGATTATATGGATTGGTAAACCAAAATCATGCGCATACAAACAAGTTTTCTTTTATTTATTTGTAAATTAAGACATCACTTTACCGCTAGATCATCCGGACTACAGAACTTTGCTAAGCCACTTACGACTTGCCTCACTTTACCCTCCCCAACATCTATTTCTTCCACCAGCAAACTGCAATGTCAATACATACGACAAGTCTTAACATCTTAGCAGATGCTCAATCAATCTTTAACAGAGCCATCAAATTGAAGTGTTTTAACCACAAACCTATCCGCCGATGGGTGCTTCCATGCTTTGCGAATTAGACCGACCTGAATATTTAGCAAACTGACACTAATCTCTGCCTCTTTCTTAGCTGGTTCTGTTTCAGCAGGTTTCTTCTTTTCCTTTTTGGCATCCTTCTCAACTGTAACCTTTTTCTTTGGCTCCTAGATTAAAGAAACATTGTGGAAACATCAGATTCTACAATATAAATAGACTCACACCCAAAGAAATCCAACTTATAAGTCAAAATCGATACCTCAGGCTCAGTTTTCTTTGCGCTCGGTTGCGCTTCTGACTTGTCAACAGGCTTTACACTTTCTGCAGCTTTTTTTGGATTAGGATTTGCTTCCATCTTAATGACATTTTTTGGTACCTGTGTTAAGAATAAAGGAAGTACATATCAGAAAACCATTTACTCATGACAGGGAAACATTTCATACATATGGAAAGTTGTGATATGAAAAAATAGTTCACCTCAAAGTCAAACACTGGTAACTTGACAGGAATTGGTCCAAATAATGTTGACAACTGTTCTTTATTCTGTAAAAATAAGTGCGCGCAGCATTACTAGTACAGCAGAAAATCACAAGGAAAGAAATTGTGAAAGGAAGATGTTCAGAGAGCGGAAATACTACAAAAGTCACTAGTGCAATCAAGTAATGAATTTTTTTTATGATGTTGATGATACCTGAATGTAATCCATCCATCTTATGACATGCGGTACTTTCGTCTTTTCCGAATCAGAGAGGTCAAGCTACGAAAAGGATGTCAAACAGATAACAGTTAATCTTCAAGGTCGGCTTTTAGTCAAACATTATATGAAAAAATGATCTTAGCATCTTTAACAAGAATCATAAACGTACTTATACAGGAACGAAACATGTATCATCAGTTCAGAAAATGACTTAAACTATGGAGTTAACAGAAGTGGTACCACCGAAGAATGCAAAGCTGAAAACACAGCAACATCAGCTGCCGATGGCGTCAATCCTTTTCCCAAGAGAACCGACTTGGAAGCTAACTCTACATTCAACTTTTCAAGAGCTGCAATGCAATCCTTTGAATTTGCAGGGAAACCTTCCGAAAAATCCAGCCACTTCGAAACCTGGAATAGGCAATTACTTTTTAAAAGTGAGAAACAATGGTACACTATCCAAAAGAAAGCCAATGAATTTCCATTTAGCGCTCATGTCTATAGGAACCAACTTCAGGAAGAGAAAACAACTTACCTCATCGTTTTGTGCAGACATTTCCTTTCCAGATGCCTTCAAAACATCAGAATACAGCTTCTTGACATCATTCTCAGCAGCTCCGCCAAGAAAAGGTTCCTAAGCAAATAAATCAAATTAATCTCACAAACAAAACCACAAATCGTCGTCTTTCCTTTATAGAAAGCAATTGGTGTAAATTCTGTATGAGAGATAGAAACGATCAACACCCATCAAATTCCCAAACTTGTAAGGTTTATTCACTGATTAAACCTAATTTGGAACACAATCAAGCAATCGCGACTATAAAAACAATCAAATCAGGATCATACACAGACACTCAGCTACCAAGAAAAGAAAATCACGGAAGCTTCTGAGATGACATCTTCTTCACTTACAGGGTCCAAGGAGAAGTGTTTGCAAAGAGCTGATAACA